ATTAAATTTAGAAGATGACAGCTAGTATAAAACACATAAACAAATGAAAAGATCATTAATGATGCATGTTTTTTATTTTAGAACTATATTTACTGTCAATTTCTTAAATACCTGAATTTCCCATTAGATTATCATTTGTCTACATTACTTAGAATTCTTATACACAAAATGGATTATAACACTATGCATTTCAAATCTGGTTATTCTATTTACCTCAGAGTTTTAGTAGTTCTCATAACTTAACAACCTTGTTCTCATTTCTTCATCTTTTATGTGGAGGGGATTTAACTAGATGAGTGATAACCCCTTTAGAGTTTTACCGTGCCATAACTTTGGATTTGCACCCATGGAACCAGGTATTTTCTTTTCCCTAACAGGTTCTATGGAGATTTGATGGCAAGAAACCAGACACCCTAGGACCCAATACTCGGCTGTACAAGTGGTTGCCCCTGAATGACCTTCTTGGTAAGATACTAGAGAAAAAGTACTGAATATAGAGTGATACTAGGTCAATGGCAACTAAATAGTGAATATTTATTTTTGAAAACTCAAATATAAAACCTATTTTATATTTGTTTTCTAGTCCTAGGGGAAAAGAAGAAAGTATATCAGTTGGCATTTTGTTACATTCATCCATATTCTTTATGTCCATAAACAAAGTATTAATATCCTTATTTCAGGTGTAATTGCCTCTCAGAAAATTTTTCAATAGCTTCCTGGGTTGTCTGTCTCCTATTTCTAGAACATTACACCACCCTTTTCCCTACAGTAGGTTTATTTCACTTGACGCTGAAAAATAACAGGTCTTCTTCTATTACAGTGACTCTGTATTTTCTATTGGAATAAACCCCAGTCTTTATTACAATGTGATAACACCTCCACAGTAAAGTGTGGCCTGTCCTTCCTGTGATTTCAGCACTGCTCCCATCAGACTCCCTGCTGCCTTGGACACCTTCCATGTCAGAGTCAGGGACTGCACTATTTCTTTAAGAGAATGTGTTCTTACATGCCTAACCTTTTCCTTTACTTTTTCTTTTCTTTTTTATATTATTTGTACATTTTCTTTATCCAGAATGTGCTTTTTTCTTTTCTGCACCTGGAAAACTTGTATTCATTTTTCCATTCTCAGGTCACACACCATTTCTTCCATGCAGCCTTCACTTTCCTCTCCAGCAAAAGTAGGTGCTTCTTCCTCTGAAATCTGAATGCAATTTCAGGGAAGTTTCATGGGTATTCTAATCTGCTATCTAGAAAACATTGTCCCTCTCAGTATCCTATATTGTGCATTTCTCATTTCATTCCTAAACTTATAATGAATACTTTTCTTGAAATTTACCCTATTCTAGGTCATCCAAAAACCAAGGCTTTTATAACTCATGGTGGAGCCAATGGCATCTATGAGGCCATCTGCCACGGGATCCCTATGGTGGGCATTCCTTTGTTTGCGGATCAGCCAGACAACATTGCTCACATGAAGACCAAGGGAGCAGCTGTTAGAGTGGACTTCAACACAATGTCAAGTACAGATTTGCTCAATGCTTTGAAGACAGTCATTAGTCACCCTATGTGAGTATGCCACTTCTTTTAATAAGTGGTATTTATAGATATG